TATTACAGAAAAAAAGAGATGAAACAACAACAATGGGAAAAAATAATCGAAAAAATCAGTTATATCGTTTAGTTTGGTCAAAAAGATATCTCAATAGTAAGAAGAAAACTAACATTAAAAGATGAAACGCAATTGATTTGTAGTATGCCTAACGTGAACCATCAGCATATAACAGAACAAAAAAAAAAGAAAATGCTCTTTTCTCGATAGCATACGTGTTTATGTATATAACAGAGATAAAGAGTTAGATGGAATCGATAAAATTAGAATAAGAGAAAAAGACCTTGAGAAACGGGTCATATTAAGTACTACTACAACTGACACTAGTACTGGTGCTTGAAGCAATGTATATTCGTTATAAAATGTATAGAACGTATACGTTATATATATAGATATAGAAAAAATCGAAGATATTCTACTGCTCTCTTTTCTTTTGCTCTATTTTTGTTGTTACTCTCATCATCACAAAGGTTATAAATATATCAAGACTTCCATATGAGTATATGGAAAGAGAATTATAAAATGATAAATGACTTTTATAGATATAAACGAATGTAGTTATCAAAAAGGACAATGAATCAAATGGAAAATACAAAAGAAAACAAAAGATACGAACGGATGTCGAGTTTTAGTTTTATTGTTTTATAGTTGAATAGCAGCTAGATTTTTTTTGTTCTCCCTTTAATCAACATAAGTGCCACTCTTTCTAACTCTCATCTATAACTTTTCTCTTCTCTTTCACCATTTTATTATAAAAAAAAATAGAAATTATAGTTCTGTCAATATTAATGATTGTCGTGACTATTAGCCATGATATATCTCTGTTTGCAGGGATTTATTTTTTTCTTTCTTTATTTGCGCGTGTGTGTTATTCTATATTACCCGTTTTTATGTCGTACATTGCATTTTTCTATTCTTATTTTTGCTCCTCTCTTTTGATGCATTCATCTATAGGAAAAAAACTTCATCAATATGCCAGAGAGAGGAACTGATTCGGAAGAGGAGGCACATATAAGGGTATGGGTCGGTGTGAATGTGGATGAAAAGAAAAACTACACCCACATCTCATACCCATACCCACCCACACTCACATACCTACGCCCACAACCACACCTATACTCACACCCATGTTAGAATCTTATACTCTCAGCGTTTGCGCTACATAATAACACATATTCTGGGCGACGCATGTAGTCGGGAACGAAGAGAACACTCAAACTATAAAGAAACTATTTTATTAAAAACTTCAATAAGCATTGTGTCTTTATCTGATATATGTTCAGAAATTCCATAGATCATCAGAGCATATAGTTTACCAGAGAAATTCTGAACGATTCTCACCAATATTTGACAAGTGAAAGCAGAAATCAATTCATAAAAAACATAACATTCTTCTGAATATGCCACGAAATAATGTCTAGCATTTGGAAAACATTGAGATAAGACTTAAGAGAATTCCGTTTGTTTCTCAAAGCTTTCTTCAAGAAACATGAGAATGATACGTCTGAATAGCATGATTTCATTGTATCATATCTATTCTTAATTGAAAATATATTAAACAAGCAATTTTTAGTCACGATATGGATTGATATAATTAGATTTTCAATAAAACAACATCAATGATAATCGAACTTTTCGATTAGTTTCTGGGGCTTATCATTTGCATGTATGATTCTTACAAAGTTTCTTTTTAGGTTTTATGTAAATCAAGCCCCACGATCAAGACTAGAATTTTTCTTATTCTGTGCTGATATTTCACTGAATAAGTTTCAATCTTCGCACGTAACATTAAAAAATAGATGCTAGGTGAGCAGATCTTAACATGCTGGCAATCTGAGATAAATAATTTCTCATCTTTTCACTTTATATGTCGTCTTTTTCTGTTGAAGAAGGAGTGTAACAATGAATTTTCGCATTTGAAATATATAGAAATTTACTGCCGAAATGTGTACATACCTTTTTTTTTCTATATGTACTTGAAAATACAATTTTTTAAATTGAAAAAAAAACAAGTATTTTTGTAAATACTACACTTCAAACCGTTCGTTCGCAAACTGACTTTCATTAACAGACATAAAGAACAAGAGAGAGTGGAAGATACTGAGAATGAGATATGCAGAGACTAGAAGTAATTTACGTGACGAAGTATTCTATCTTTATAAACAGTCGACGTTTTGCCGTACAAATTATCTAATTCTTCACTGTTCTGTCGATCATTGAAAACTACATGCGACTAATCGCTTGAAAAATCGATTATTACTGTATATTGCAATACTCATTTCGTATATTCTCAACAGGGCATCTGTTCGCATCATGCATAAATTGAATACAGGAGACAGTATCCTCAGATATCTATCATTTACAATCTCAATGACAAAACGTAAATAGACTGTAAAACGAATCCGAAAGATGCTTTCTGTTTCTTCGATTCCAACCTTGCCGATCAATGCATGCACATGAGACCTCTTTTTTTTTCTCTTCAACTATCCAGGCAGAGATAAAAATGGTAAAATGGCATTAAAATGCCTATAAATGGTAATTATCATAATGATGTAAAACGGTCACAAAAAAATACCAAAAAATGCTTTTTATATGAGGCATTAAAATATGCGTCAATGTAACGCACTAAAATGGTTATTTTTTGACTAGCGATGGATATGTTTGTATTGTTAGTTAATAAGGTTAGATATACTCTGGCCAGATTACAGTTCTCCTCATTAAACTAAGATATTTAAAATATAGACTTCTGTTGTCATGTCTAAACTGAGATATTCGAATTTTAGGATATTTACACCATATGAAACGTACTTATAAATCAAAATTTTAGCAGAATTTCTTTTTCTTTTTTCGTCATAATTAAATAGAGCTTGTCATGTTTTATAAGAAAAAGTATGTTTCAAATTCAAAAAACAAATATTTTACGAAGAAGTCCACGATAATATTATTTTCAGATATATGGGGAAATAGACCCAGAATTTTGATTTCCGCTAAAATCGTTTTGAATTTGAAACATACTTTTTGCATAACTCAATGAATCCTATCCAACCATGATGAAAAAAGAAAAAAAATTCTGCTAAAATCTTGATTTGTGAGCACGTTTCATATGATGTAAATATCGTAAAATTCGAATATCTCAGTCTAGGCATAGCAACAAAAGCTTATATTTTAAATTTCTTAATTTAATGATCAGATCTGTAATTTGGCCTGAATATATCTAAACTTATTAACTGACAATACGAATACATCTATTACAAGCATTCTAAATGTTCAACTCATCTTTTGACTTGTTCTCTTCTTCGTACAACATTTATATCAACTGCTAATGAAAGTTACTCGTCAAGAGGCAAAAATTGATTAAAATAGACTTGAAACATATTACACTATTTTATTCAAAACAGGGCATCGAACAGATTTCTATTTTTCAGCGAACTGCTATTATCTATGACTGACATCTCGGTATATGTTAAATATTACTTGTCAACGTAAAATTTAATTGTAAGATCTAATTTCCAATGCTATGCCAAACAAATTGAAAAAACTTGAACTCGTGTTCATTTAACTCAGAGAGATATGAAAGAAATGATAGACCGTACTAGTAAATTACACAAATAATTTATTCGAAAGAAAATTTCTCAAACATCTAAATTGTTCAAAAATCAGAGGGTCGAGTTTTTTTTTCATTCTACTTTTACGTTTATAGTTTAACATGTTCTGAATTGTATTAAGTAAAGAGACGGGAGACATGTTCTACTAGATCATCTTCGTATTAAATAAATCGAATTTGTTCTCTTTTTCCTTCTCGATCAGTTTTCTTTGTTTAACGACAAAACACTATCATCGACCAATTGGAATAAACTAGTCAGATAATTTAGATATAGAGAAAACAAAACATTAAAACAGAAAGACAAGAAAAAATAATGTTCCAGTAATCGTTCAGTTATAAACAGATATAATAATAAATGAAAACATAAAGGCGATGATAAATAAACAATTATCTCGAAATAAAAATTTATTCTGACTAAAAGCTAAGAATATGGTACTTTATTCGTAAAGAAAGTGTAAACGACTAAAAATCTTGATTATTCGTTCATTAAAAGGATTACCTTATTCTTAAACTACATTTGAAGAAATCGTCGAATGAAATTTAAGAACAATTTAATAAAAAAAAAGACTCCAGTTAGTTGAAACGTTAATGTAACAGCTGCGAATTCATTTCTATCGGTAAAATAACAAGTAGGCATAGACATATGTCAATTGCTCATTTTATATAGATGCACATACATTAGTTACGAATGCATACATGTAACTAAACGCGCTCTTCGTGTATGTTATTGAGTCTCTCTTTTGATACAAAATAAATGTTAAAGGAACAATTAGAATGATGCAAATATCATAAAAACATGTCCAATCAAATACTTCATAATTTTACATATGTATGCAAAAATCGGTAACAGACGAAATATTTTTAATGCTTTGTTTTACGTTTTCGTATTTAGTGGAGAAAAATGAAATATACTGCAAGTAAAAAAGATGACGTTTTTTTCAATCATAGATATTCGATTTTCAAGGAAACACTTTTAAATATGGTGCGTGTCATGAAGAGTACGATTCTCCTCGATTTGAGAATTGTCAATTCATTGTTAAAGTCATGCAAAAAGTAGTTGTTTTTGATTACATCTAAATTTTCCTTCGTCATGATCGCAAATTTCGATTGACTCTTATTTCGTGAATTTTGAACTATATTCTTGAGAATTGTGTAGCATATGAATCATTGTAAGCAAAGACTAGTAAATCGTGTAATTTTTAGAAACTATACACATATTTAAATCAAATCAAAATTCAAAAAAAATAGACTTAGTGACCATAAAATGATCAAAATGGTTCAGAAACGAATCAATACTTATTCTAATGGTGGCTTGGGTGTGGGAGTGGGAGCGAGTTGAGAGAAGATTAACTCACACCCACACCCCACCCTTGATTTGAAATTTTTAGATAGATATATGAATAATCTTAAACGAAAATCATCTTTTAATCATTTATCAAAGAAATGTCGAAGTAAGTTTACTGACAGAGTAGACATAAATCAATCTTTTTCTATTTCGATTGAATTAGATGACGTGAATCAATCGATAACTTGCATTGAAAATTTATCAAATGAATGTTTTTATGAAATATTTAATTATCTTGATGCTTGTGAAATATCTATAGTATTTTCAAATTTAAATTATCGTTTTCAGCAACTTCTCAATTCTTTATTACTTTTATTTAAAATCAAATTTAATGATTCAATACCAGAAGAAATATCTAGAAATAATTATGAACAAATTTTAGTTCACAACAGACATCAAATCTATTCAATTAATTTATGGACAATGGAAAATATGTTTCTGTCTATGACGTTATTTGTCATTAATTCATCATATGATCACTTCGAATCAGTTACTCTTTTTGGAATTGAACCAGATATACTTCATCTACTTCTTACTCATTATACTTGTTTACCTCGTTTATTCTCATTAAATATTGATACAAAATCTAGTTGCAGATTAAAAGAATTAAGCGATATTTATCAGTCAATTTTTGCTTTATCAAAATTGGAATCTATCGAATTAGAAACAGATATATTTGACGATTCTGAATCCAGACTTCCATTATCAATTGCTACTAATAAACAATTCAGTAATATTAAATATCTTTATATACATCATTCTTGTAGTTTTCAAGAATTGTTTGCTATAATATCTTATACACTTCAACTTTGTCGTTTGAAACTATCATATACATGCGATAATGATGAACCAATTATTGGAAATGTATTACCGATTTCATTATTTAGTTTAATACATTTTTCAATAGATCGATATGATATGAAATTGATAAATTTCAATGGTTTATTAAAAATATATTTTTTTGCAAATTAAAATCTTTATATTTTAATATTGAATATGAAGATATGACATGTTTTGATGCTAATCAGTGGGAACAATTAATTCAACAATATTTATCTCAAATGAAAAAGTTTTACTTGACATATTATGAACCTATCACGAATGAATATAAAATCCTGAACAATTCCGGTCAATTCAATCAATTCTTTTCCTCTTTTTAGATTGAAAGACAATCGATACTGGAAATTGAAATCAATAATAAACATATTAAATATGTAATTCGTCCACAGGTACATCAGTTAAATCCTTTGCTATAAAATAAATAAACATGTCTGTTTAGAAAAGAACGGTATGAATATATACAAAATAATATTGTCAATGCTTCTGTGCAACTTATTCTACGAAATGTTCATTCTGAGGAATGTTTTTCTTTATTAAAATCAGATATTGATGGTATATTAACTATTGGACAAATTTATCATTTGAAAATTTCTGAAGTTTTTATTAATACATTTATCCAAATTATAAATTTATTACCTAAACTTGATTCATTAAAAATTTCTTCTTTACCATTAAAACAACCAAAATGCTTGTCTACTAATGAAACAGAACTGATTAGTTTAATATCTAACAAAAATCAAATTACAAAAGTCAATTTGGAAACGATTCCTAATATTGAAGAAGTTTATTTTCTTCTTGAACTTTGTTCTCGTATTATATATCTCAAAGTAGATTTCATAAATCATATAGATATTGAATTATTTATACGACAAATTTTGATAAAAATTAACACCAAATGTCATTATCAACTGCGATTATTGTGTTTTTGTATATCAGCTGCAGATGATCATATGATTAAAACATTACAAAAAATGATTTGTTCTGAAAAATTTTTGTTGAATTATACAATCAAACGCATATTGAATAATATGTATTTGGAATGGAAATAGTTATTATCAAGCGTTGGATTGATTCTTCTTTCATAAATTTTAATAAAATTGTTCAAAATCATTCATTTTTTTATTTTAATTAAATAGAATAATACTTTTTTTTTCCATTCCTGTTTTTATTGATCTGGCTATCCGGTTTAACTTATTTTTATCACGAATGATTGAATACTATCTGTTAAGGAGATCGATCATATTCGAATCAAATGAACTTTCTCACCGACTGATTTAAAATATTGCATGCTCGTACATAGCGTGGACTGAGATATTCGATTCTTACGATATGTGGGGTGTATGTAAGATGCAAATAGTCTAAAACTTCCACAGAATGTTTTGTGATAGTTGGATAGAGCTGGTCAAGTTGCATAAGAAAAAAAGTAGATTTCATATTTAAAAAGAAAGATCTCAAGTAATGTGGATGTTGGTGTAGGTGGAGGTGTGAGTATGGTGGTGGTGTTGGTCTCTTATTCAAATGCACCCACAGTCACACCCATACCCATCAAAGTAAATTTGATCAGTGCGAAAACAATGACGACTATTCAGGTTTACAACAATGAAAAATAGAGGCCGCTACCCATCGTAGTTGCTGCAATACAAATGTTTTCATTTGTTGTATACCTTCTTGGTCACCCTGTATAATCTCACTTGTCGTTCGGTCTGTTAATTTCACAATCTGAGTCTCGTACTGAGTGAAGCGTTGAGCGACAAGTTCTATTTCGACTTTTCGACGCTGAGTTTTGATGATTAAAGTACCTCATTATGGTTTAGCTGTTGCTGACACTGTTGATTAACACATTCTATCTTGACTTTTTGACGTTGATTCTCAGTTTGGAGTTTTTGGACTCGATTTAACTGTTGATGACACTGTTCTATGAACTGTCGATTTTCATCAAAGAACTCGGTGAACACTGGTAGAAAAGACCGGAAAATACACGTGGACAAATGATTGTTAAGTTAATTTCGCTGTTCAATCCACGGATACTTGATATCGGCTGACAGACAGTGTACACAAATATTGGGACATGTTTTGTTGATATGATCGTTGAAATTTCCTTGGTGTCGATTCATCTATCCACAGAATGGACATTTGACTCGAAGTGTGTCAAGCATTTTATGCAGTGTACGACTGATCTGTGACAGACTATCAATTGACACTAACTTGCGGCAAGCAGGACACAATCCTCCATTCGTTGTCATTCACCTAGTCATACAATCGTGACACAATATATATGATCGCACGAAGTATATCGTGGAGCTTCGAATGATCTTTTGGAGATTATGCATAGTAGAGCAGAGTCGATAGACTCTTTGTCCATGTACTTGTATTGACTGCTTCTCGTCATTTTGCTTAAACTAGTTAATATCTCAAAAAATTTTAACCATATGCGAGAAACAGGCGTGTATTTTCTAAACATTATCAATAGCTTATTATATAGTTTCATTTTCGATTATATTTCATAACCTATTCAAAATCAAAAGATGTCGAAAATAAAAATTTCTTTCTTACCCTTTTTGTAATCTCTCACTTGCTATAGAGCTCACAATGTGCTCAATTAAACAAATAGGTCTAAATACATGTCTTCGTTTCTTATTCTTTAGTGATCAAATAAATAATGTTGCTACCTTATATATTATAATTCAGTGACAAGAATTTATTATTATTCATCGTAAAAAATCAAACAACGAACTTCAAGACTTCTCTGTTCCACATTCGATGTTGGGACATTTTCATTTTTGAAAGCGGTATGAAAAGCAAATTGTGCGACATCAGGTTTGCTATCGAAGATTTTGAAGATAAACATTTCATCGGATCGCATTTCACTCAAATAATACCATATGTGAGCATCTTGAGCATTTCGAGACATAATATGAGCGGTAGTATGATAAAGGGAGCCAGGAAGTGCGAGTGGATGAACATCTTTATCAACATCGACTGAACGATAATCACAAATTGTCAACGATTTTTCAGTGATCGGATTAGTACCTAATGGGCGCCAGACGTTGACTAGTTGAGTTCGATTTTTCATTGCTTTTTCACCTTCTTCTTTGCCAAGCGTTTTTTCTATCACTTCTTGAACTCCACGTACATCGGCATCAATATGGGGATAGAAGACAGGATTTCTGTGAGTGTTATCACATTGCTCGATGGTTTGTGGTGGACCTCGAGAGCGAAAAGTATGATGATAGATAATCACACGAGAGGCACCCAATCGCTTCTTGAGAAGGTCACTAATTTCTCCATAATAAGTTTGTTGTTCTTTACTATCTTCTTTGAATTCCTTCTGTATGGAGCCATCATATTTGAGCACCTCGAGGGCATTGGTGTCGAGATTGACACTCTTCTCTTTGCCTCGTAAGTCGTGAATGATGACAGAAACAGGTACTTGTGCAATATTTGATCTCATCTTCATTGACATCGGATGCACCATCAGCCAAGGAGAACATCCATCTGTCGTAGAAGTAAGGTAGTTAATATGACCAATGACATCGCCATCCATTATGATAAACCTAGAATAATTTATACAAATGCTATTATTTGTTCACGATCGAATCTACCATTTTATATATACCACAAGACAATGACAGTTCTACAGAGAAAATAGCCAGTAGTACAGATGATATTGTGTTAGAAGTGAGTATACGAATGCATGAAAAGAAAAGAGAAGGATCAATACGAAAAGAGAGAATTTAGCAGTATTAAGCAATGATAAAAATAAAGCAAGCAACGGACAAATCCCCTAAGTATATAAATAAATCAGATAGATGAAACGTGTACGGTATATATAGTCTATACTCTTTGTTTTTCTTTCTTATCGTTCGTAACAAACGTTTTTTCTTCCTGACTTGTTTGTTCCACAACATGCTCACTCCACCTTATCAGTCCTTTTTCGTACTGTTTCACCCGTGCTCTTGTTGCTTAGGCGCTTAGTTTCTCTTTATCTATCTCATAAAAGAACAATGAAGATTGGACAATAATGTATTTTAGATATAAAAAAAACAACGCACTTAATTATTAAATTAAGCGAATAGAAGATTTACTTTCGAAAAACATGCCATAAATATGCGATTTTTTGTTGATATTTCCACTACACAATAATTAGTATGAATTCTTATAACAGATGTATTAAATAGAATCAGAGAGAAGAACTGATTTGTGTCGGTTTTAAATACTTTAAAGATCAAGACAAACTGTTTATATTGTTAGTGAAGACACTATTACGAATATAGCTAAGAAAATCTAATTTTTCTAGATGAAATTTCAGTTGAAATAATGTAATAGAGATAAAAGTAAAAGCAACTAATCAAACAAGGTTGTATGTAATTGTACAGCATAAAATTGTGTGAGAATAAAAGTAATATTCTTGTGAAAATAATTAAATGCACCATCACTTGACGAGTTGCATTTTAGTCATTTCATACCTTTGATCATCTGCCACTTTAAATATAACGTTTCTTGATGATACTTATTTGATGGACTTTTTTTTCATAATCAACTCTTCCTATCAGTGGATTTTCTTTTCTACAGTCAGCAACATCGAACAGACTAACCGACTTTTACAAAACATTCTAACTTTTGAATAAAAAACTATAAAGTATTCGTAGCAATATGGATTACAATCATAAAAATTTTCTGTAAAAAAAATATTGGTTTGTTCATTTGTTATATGAGATATTTTAAGTAAAAAAAAAATGCTCTACTACTGTAATACAAGATGAATGGTCATAATAGTTCAAAGTAGAAATCAAAAGCCAATTGATCTGGCATCAGGAAAACTCGATTTGATTCTCCGTTTCTTATAAACCGTCTTTGTTTGAATGATATGGAGAGCAAGACGCAAAGTTGACAATAGCAACTCTTCTATGTAAGTCGAGGCGTGTGAAACAAAAGGCAGTAGCATTTGCACACATAACAATGTGTGTATATATTCTCAATTCTTACGATGATATTTATTGATATATGTCATTTGCTACAGGCAATCTCGCATCGTTAATGAATTCAACAGCAATTATGGCCAATGAGATGAGAATGGTGATGTTTTCATGTACTAAAAACATATGAATATGGCTATTTGTTCATGGTCTATCTGCATCGTTCATTAGTCTTCTCTTGTTCTGGACTATAATATTAACTTTTACCTTTCTCACTTGTTGCGTACTAATTAGGGGTGAATCTCAACACGGCTAGAGTGTGTGTGCGGATATGTGGGTGTTGATGTGGGGGTGGGAGTGGGAGTGGGGGTGGGTATGGGTATGGGTATGGGTATGTGGGATGGACGTGGGTCACGATAAGACAAACACCGACACCCATACCCATACTCACCCACACCTACACACCCACACCCCACACCATCATACCCACACCCATCTGCACCTACATCCACATCTACACTCACACTCACATCGACACCCCACCCCACCCCACCCCGCACCCACACTTCAGATGATTGTTGTTTTGTTTACTCATGAGAAATAAGTTACTAGGTTCAAATTTAGTACGCTCGTATACATGCAAATATTAATGTATGTTTTCTCGTCGCAATAACACACAACGCCGAGAAAGGCAAAAAAGAGAGCAAGAACATAGACAAAATGAAGTGCATGTGATAATGGGCGCATTGATGTAAAATAACTATCTATTTAATGAAAATATCATGGTCGATTGATTTATGTAAACATATGCAACGTGGAAAAAACCAAGTAATGTTGTTAAGAATAGGTATGAGGCGAAAATTGGTTACAGACATACAAAACAAAATCGCACACGCCAGTATCATTTCACGCGTACGTATGTTTGATTTTCAACATTACTACACTAGTAATAAAATAAAAGTTGATACTCAGGAGTAACTACTGACTACAATACACGACTGAACATGAAGATGAGATATTTTAATCATAAGTAATTTGAAGAAAGCTGCGATTGAGAATGTTCACTTTATGTAACCGATAGTCTAGATTGAAATAGCTTTGACACATAAAAGTGTTTTACCATTAAGCATGCGAAATAGAATGACTTTCGCAATGCTAACATTTCACCCACAGCTTTGGCGGCTGGAGATACGAATCCTACTCTCAGAAAGCTAACATAGCAGTAAACTTACGAACTTGTACTAGAAATCTTTTAATAATCTAGAAGCAATACAGTAAAATTTTGAGCTCTAACGAGATCAATTACAATGTAAGATTTGGACATCAAAACAAAAAGTCTCTATTGAAAGAATTGACGAAGCTTCACAGTTTATCAAATCCAAGAGATAGAGAAACTCTTCCAGAAAAGACACCTCATTTGTTCTTCTATACGAGGGTGAGTGGGTGTGGGTTCGAGTTCGGGTAAAGAGAAGATCCACAACCACCCAGCCACACCCACACCCACACCCACGCCCACATCAACACTTACATTCACACCCACATCCACACCCACACTCATCCACAACCACCCTGCCATACCCACACTCTTGTATTCTACACATCTATTCAAATTATCCGAAAGAGGACTGTCGAAAATAAAACTTGATGATTGAAAGCACTACCGTATACATGAGAAAAGAGATGAAAGTGTAAATGTTCTTTTTGCATTGATCAAACGAAAAATCAGCAGCCAAGGAAAAAAATCTATAATAAAAAAAAAACACCAACATTTACATAGCTCATTGCATAGTATTTACTCATTGGCAAGTTAAAATACTCAATGTCACCATCTATCCTTGATCGATGCACATAAAACTGACGAATGAGAATAAATGTATTTATGGTTAAATGTGAAAACAAAAATAAAGTTGTTGAAGCTACTTCCGCCGCATATAAAGGAATACCATTACAATATGACCGAAAATTTCTTTATAATTTTGCTGCAATGTAGACAAAAAACTAACCCATCTTTTTCTTTATTCTTTCTTAGGCATGTTTTAGTGTCAAAAGTCGAAAGCAACACCATGAATAATCTACGAGGCCTCTCTCAAAATATTCAAGTAAGATTACCCAGATCTGCTTCGAATTCATGTGAAGCTACAGGTGAAGAAAGTGAATTGTACAATCTGAAACTTCGATTTGTGTCCATTTTCGTTCTATTCGTCGTCTCTTTTCTTGGTGCTTCAATCCCAGTACTTTCAGCTTGTATCAAACGCTTACATATACCATCAATAATTATTAATACGGGAAAGTTTTTCGGCACTGGGTATACATTCGAACTGTTCGAAAAAAGCATTCGCTCAATTATTTTCTTGTTTTTTTTTCTAGAGTGATACTTGCTACCGCATTCATTCATATCTTGCCAGCAGCCATAGATGCATTGACAGATGAATGTCTGCCAGAAAGTTGGAAAGATTATGAAGCCTATGCAGGTTTATTCGCCATGCTAGCTATACTGGCCATGCAACTCATCGAAATCATTGCACATCATCAATTACACAGGGTACTCATACACGATATAAACGTCGTAGTTGAAGAAGGTCATGCACAACCTCCTACAACACCTGTTGAAAACAGGCAACAACATGGTCATAGCCATGGTTTATCACTACTATCAGATAGTCATAATCATCGTATCACTACCTATTTACTTGAGTTCGGTATTGCTATACATTGGGTCCTCATTGGTGTGATGTTGGGCATTGATGATGGTTCACACTTTGTAGTCCTTTTTATTACACTTTGTTTTCATCAATTTTTTGAAGCTATCGCACTTGGTGCACAAATTTCACAACTCAATAATAAATCAGTATTACCAGCTGTTTTCATGGTGATATTTTTCTCTCTCACTACTCCAGTCGGTATTGCGATCGGTATCAGCGTTCATTTGAATACATACAATCCAAAATCATTAGCTGCACTGGTGACGACTGGTGTTTTAGATTCGGTTTCAAGCGGTATTTTGATCTATGTCGCTCTGGTCAATTTGATGGCTGGTGAAATGGGTGTCGGAGCACATGGATTTGTTGCATTGAAAAAACACGTGAAATTTTTATATTTTGTTGCTTTGTATCTTGGTGCAGCATTTATAGCTATTCTTGGACGATGGGCATAGACGAGACATTTTCGAAATCTTTTAGAAAAGACAGGGACGCATAAGAACCTGGCTTGGCCCATAGGACTTTTTCACATTGAATCTACTACAATCATATGTAGGATTCAAGAACTTTGATCGGTGGTGGTGTGTGGGTGTAGGTGTAGATGTGAGTGCGGATGTGTGGATGTAGGTGTGGGTGCGGTTCTATCACTCTGCCACTTAGCCACACCCACACCCCGATTGAACAAATACTCGGGAGATACAGTGCAGCCAATCAGTATTCCTTCAGTTTTTTGAAAATTTCTGCGTGATTTTCATCTTTTGTTTCATTTCTATCTCGATCGAAGTTTTCTGATTTGTTATGGAATTCTGCTATGAATCGAATGTAAATTTTCACTTGAGCGATATTTTTCTCTATGAAGAATTATTTTTGATATATTTTTATTCGCTGATACGTCTTCTTATGCTAGTTGGAAACATCTTTTATGTTTGATCGATGCTTTTTTATTTTGACAAAGGTTTGAAAGAATTCTACGTTAAATAGCATGATATTCTACATTGAGTAAATATCATTTAAATGTTTTCCAAAAAGAAGTGTCTTTTGCATGATGAAAATTGCAATATGTTTGTCATCGATGTGATAGTGTGCGCAGTTGTATAGTTTCTGAAGATGATTTTTCCAGCGGAATATCTGGCCGTCCATGACTCGGTATCTTCAGTAGTAGATTTCAATTAGATATCGTAGGATTCTTTTGTCGTCTGTTCAGGGATGTCTCTAGATTCGTTTATTTTTCACGTGTTCAACCTAATTTCTTTGATTAGTAATGACAGCGATTGATACCTACATGTGGATATCGTACGAAATTCTGTACTGAGGAACATGATAACATGCATCTTTCTTTTCAGTCTAAATTTCTTTAAATGTGAAATCGTGACACATTTTGTTCTATGCCTCGCTAATTCAAAAACTTTTTGTTTCGTGATCATGTTTTATGATTTATAGAATAATTATTTTTTATCTTTATTCGATAATATAAATCATTACTCAATGATAAATTATCTATTTCAAATAATTTCGATATATTTAAAGACTATTTCCTACCAATCATTCGATCTCATACTCTTTAATCCAAATACATTTGGCAATTGAATATTTTCAATCATTTACAGTTTTTCAAGTTTATACTTTCTCTCAGAAATACATCTTTGAAATTGAGGATGTGGATGTGGGTGGATGTGAGGTGGGGTGTGTGGATGCCGGTGTGAGGTGTGGCCGTGGGTGGGTGTGTAGTGTACGGTTGGAAGTGAGTTATGGGCGTAGATACTCATTCCATTCACATCCACATCCACACTCCACACTCTCAACAAAAATAATTACAATCTCTTTTTTTGTTGCATACTATTGGTTGATACTTTTCAATGCTTAAAAATAAATAATAATGACTTCCATATATTTTTTTTTACATAGAAAAACAAACTCCGATAATGCTTTAGTCGTTAGAATACGACAAGAGATGAAATCTAGAATAAAATATATATACATAAATATACATAAGTACTAGATAGTAGAGTGCATTTTCTTTGTCATTGACATCAATAATGCAAAACTAATTGCTCTTGTTTTTATTATACCAATATTCTGTTTAAGTAAGATTCAAGAATAATAACGAATTTCTTCAAAAAACAAAACACTTTTAAAAATACAAATTGTTATTTTGCTTTTCAATGATATTGAAAAACAGCTGCTTTTCATGTCAAAGTTATTTTAGGATTTCAGGTAGGTACAAAGCCTATCGACGATAACTAGCTAACTATGATATGATAAAAAAAAAAAAAACATTGTTTTTGTTAAGTGTAAATTCTAATAAATGCATCGATTTCTCGTCGACATATTGGACACAATCGCAGTGAATGGCCACATGCGACACATGTTGCCATGTGACCACATGGTATACAAGCTAATTGTTTTTCTTCTGTTAGACATAGAACACAAAGATTCGATGGTTCTGAATTAGTTGATTGGCTTCGATTATTCATAGTAGTTATTTGTTTATTTGTTTGTGGTTCACGTTCAATGCTACTGTTTGTTGATTTTGATGTTGAGTTAATAGAAGATTGAGAAGACGTAGATTCATTTGTTAATGATTGCGATGATATAGTCACGTTAACATCTGTATGATTTTGTACGAATTGAGTTGCATCAGGTATAGTTGATATTGGTTCACGCATTCTTGTTTCTAGAAAATAAGAACATAGAAATGGGAAATATACCTATGATAAATTCACCATTTTGTTCTCGAATTTGTTTCATTTTTATACTTGGTATAATAATATTTCTTTTTTGCCATCAATATGTTCGATTTGTTTTTGAAGAATTAAACAAGCAGCATACAAATCACAGTCGGATACAAAATCATCATCTGAATAAAATATTCAAAAACAAAATACGAAAGACAATATTTTATTGATTAACGCACGTTTTACTCGTAATTGATCTTCCCAACATCGTTTAATGATAGATAATTTAAAATTTTGATTCAATAAACGTTGTGATATGGATAAGTCTAATCGTGCAGCAACGAGTCTGGATAAAGTACTTTCATCAGATATTAATAATCGTCTACTATTTGCTGTTACATTAGTATTTACTAGATTATTTGAGCCTGGTTTTTCTCTTAATTCGGTAGCTCTAGCACGTTCTACCAAAGAAAAAATGAATCAATTTTAACTAAAAATTTATAATTTTTCAAAACTTACCTTGTTGTATTCGTTTAGATTCTTGAATTTTATGATATAATTCTTCACCACATAATTGTCTAGCATATGCACAATATGGAAACCAACGAGCATGTTCAATCATTGGATTATCATTTGAACCCCAATTTTGTAATGATCCATTACAATAAAAACAAGTAACAATGGTTTCTTTACCTGTAAAGAAAAATCCTGCTCGAACCAAATGATCTACCGATGGTAAATCTTCATTTGGCCAAGTAGCGAATGATGCATGTCGTTTTGGTATTTCAGAATAAGCAGGATTACACGATGCTCTATATACAATATCACTAGATCGTAATGAGCTGAGATTAGTTGATATCGATGAAGGAATGCCTGTAGTTGTTGTCGGTGTACTTTCGTTGACAATAATTATTGATGAAGCTATAGGATGCATCAATCTTGTTTTGACATATATACAATTAGGTGATAGCGTTTTATGTAATTCACATGGATCATCTGTATGTGGTATCCATTGTTGACAAATAAGATTACAATAGATGCATATTACTCGATCATCAACATTACAGTTAAAAAATCCAGCTTCAATCATTTGTGCACTTGATGGAACAGTACGATGTGGCCAATGAGAAAAGGTACGTCTTCGGACTTGTTGAAGTAAATCAGTTTCAAGTAAAGTATTTGATACAGATTGGAAATTCATTGTTTCTATCTTTTGACGTTTAGAAGTATTTTCTTCTACAGTTGATATAGATGAATTTTGAGTAGTAGTTGTTGGCGACGAGAAAGGCGCAGGTACATTTGATGATGAAGTTGGTACTATAGAGTGTACGAATGGACAATCAGGTTGACGTTTTAAATGAACAACAAATAGATTCATGTCTAATGTCGAGATATGTTCACATTTCCAAAAAAGAAAATTACCCAAATTTCTGAAATTTCCATCAGCTCGATAATTATATAGTAGTACAAATCAAAGATTTTTATACATATTGGAAATTTCAAAAATTTTAGAAATTTCTGTAATTTCAGAAATTTCTGTAAGTACATAATTACAGAAATTTCAGAAATTTTGAAAATGACATCATTTTAGGAAGTAACATAAAATTCAGAACACAAATGCTTGAAATCTTCGAAACTTATGAAATTTCCTTTTTCGGAAATCTGAACACTGCTGCTAATGTCCAATTGGATGCCTCAAGCCCGCAGTCTTTACAACGAGCAGTATCTCCATTACCTGTATATTCAAAACCGACAGCAGACATAGAGTAGAGAGCGTGAACACCTGATCTCTTTATTGACTTGACTAGTGTTTGCATTCGATTAATGATAGTAGCAAGAGTTTGAGAACCTTCTTTCTTCTTAACGAATGGTTTCGATGAATCATTCATTGATTTGTATTTATTAGATGCATCACTCCAATTGTCGGTTGGAAACTTAGCTGTGGCCGACATGTTACTTTATCTATCTAATAAAATCTAAAGAAGATATTATTTATAAATGTACGTTCGATTCATAGAAATTTCCAACATATTTTAATTATTCAAACGATCTCACCAAGTATCCCTTAAAGCGTAAAATAGAATCTAATTAATAAAAAATGACGAAGCTGGACATAATAATACACATTGAGCCGCTGGAAACTTCCATTTAAAAACGCCGCAGTCATCAGTAAAAAGTTTGCCGACTCGTTTGGTAACGTTTTTTTTTAGTGAGACGAAAATGATTTGGACATTTATAGTTCACTCTACAGTCGCTGTATGACACCGATAAAACTTAATGTGATATGAGTTCATTCACTGACTAAAATGCACACATATGAAATTATTTCTAATGGAAAAATTTTCCTTCTAGCGATGATTGCACCCGATACATATGTACTAAACTTTATTGTAAACAATCCACAACCATATATTTGTTGATGAATAATGCCTACGATATGATAATATCCAACCACGCTAAAGAAAAACATCAGAGAGAGGCAGAGACAATTAATCATAAGACAGCAAGAGATAATACATATGATAGAATGAAAAATTCCAGACGACAGATAGGAAAGAAAGTAAATATAGGAGAAAGGAAAAATGGATATGTTGTAAACAAAGTATGGGAGAGAACGAGTAAAAAAATGAGCGATGGCAACATCTAGACTTATTACTTCTTCACACTCACTAGACTGTACTAGTTTAAGTTGTTTTAAATCTAATATAGACTATTGGAAAATTGCGTATAAAACTGCACAGACCTATTTCAGAGATGGGATCGATTCAGCTCGGGACTTCTCAAGTCGATTTCGATTTTGGTTCGACTCAGTTCTCATTTTTTTAAGCTAGGGAAGCAAGACTTTCTTGAATACTATATTAAAGATGACATTTTTTCCGTATCTATAATATACTGCCTTCTGATTTTTTTTACAGCAAGAATCATTAATTTTCTCGTGGTGTATTCGGAGCTATGATCAAACTTGATGAAACACAGAACAAAAGTTTCAAAACCAATCTGAAATCGATCATAAATTTCTACTGTTTAATTTTCTTCGACCTATCAAAATCAAGTTCAATAGATTTTAAGATCTGTATTTTGTACTAGATCAATCCTTTCGAATAGCTTTGGAAAGAGAAAGCAAAAGGTTAAATTCGATCGATATGGAAGAAATACTAGGAGTCCAATAAGTCTCAATGTTGGAAATCGGTTTTTACATGTAGAAATAAATCAATTCTCATCAAATACTTGAACTGCTAATCACAGTTTATAATATGTTAAGTATTGGGCATTATGAGAGTCCTAAGAATTTTTGCATATCAATTGCGTTCGATTTTTTGAATGTTTTTTTTTTCTAAATCTATTCTAAGAATTTGTCTAATAGAGAATAGAGATCGCAAAATCGGTCTGAATTAATTGTCATTTGTCAAAAAAAAATGAAAATGAGAAATTTCGATGAAGCGAACAATTGACCGTGCTTAATATAAAACTCCGCAGTTAACTACCTTGATAGGGAAAGCATTATTATTCTGGAGCCTTCCCACATCTCCTTCAGAAAAGTAAGTTTCCGTCAAAAACATGAAAATTGAAATAAGTTTATAGAATGATAGCCCGAATTTTGCTCTTTTAAAAATAATATGACCTTTTAGTTTATTATATCAAGTTTTTCCCTAAAATTTTTGATGAATTCCATTACCTCCCTACTACAAAAATAAGTTGTTTTTAAAAAAATTCGATATTTTTTTTTTTCAATTTTTCTCGGTTTCTAGTTTTTGATCTAGCATTCCGGAATTCTCGAAGGAGCTTCATTTTAGTTAAAGAAGTTTTTTGTTTGAAAAAGCGTGTTAAGATCCACGTCATGAAAGAGTCTTTTTCTTGAGTTAAGCTTTGTTACTATATAGTATATGAAAAAGTACTATTATTATTAGAGCACAAATTTTTTGAGAGTTTTTCGGCATCTTGAAATTTTCCTCTCAGTTCGTCGGTTAAAAGGCGATAATTTAAAAAAAAAGAACTCTGTTATTCTCTGTATTTTGATATGTTCTATCAAACAAAAAAACAAATAAATTTCAAGTCCATATAACGAAGGCCTATCAAAAATTTCGGGTTGTCCAATGAGCTATTTTTGTCGTTGTGTTGTTGAATAATTCTAGAAAACATGATGATACAGAGCTGAAAATTTTATCATAGACTTTTCACGATAACCCAAACATATTCTAAAAATTTCATATGATTTCAATGTTTCTGGATTAAGATCCCATTTTTGAGGGGAGGACTTAGTATGATGTTCTAGAAAGTGGTACACTCCTATTTCTAAACGATTTTGGATTCGATCCATCCTTTCTTTGATTCCATTAGTTCAGTTTAATTTGGTCCAGCGTTCTTCATATAAGTCTCGACTTCAGTTCGATTCACATTTCGAAAAACCTGAATCGATCTCATCGCTGCTAAATATGAGCTATAAAAGCATAACCTCTCTATGAGGAACTTTTCCGATCATCTTTCAACCATACTGTGCATGATTATAGGTCAAAAGTGTTTGTAGTCAACAGTATATTCAATCTTTCTTTCTTATTTTCAATTTAAAGCGCATCCAGTTATGCCCCGATTGATAGCCCTCATGAAGCTTAAAAAATGGTAGTATTATCTGAAAATAAATTTCAGGGAAGTATATTAAATACATGTAAAAAACGTTTGTGAGCACCAAAAACGACACTTCTTGACTCAAACAGCAGTGTTTAAATTTCTGAAAAAGGAAATTTCCTTCTTAAATCATCAAATTTCACGAATTACCAGAAATTTTCAGAAATCTCTCAAATTTTTATAATCTCCAGGGAGTAGGATCTTCTTTTCTTTAGAAGATCTACAGATACGCTCAGATACATTTTGTGGAAATTCCAGTAATTATAGAAAATTGTTGGTAATTTCCGAAAATGTATTATATAAATTCGAGTTCATTATGAGAATAAAATTCACAAAATTCCGGAGAACTATAGAAATTCGCATGAAGCTCCTGGCTATTGCTGATAATATGTATCTTCGGCACGTTGGAAATTTATGGCAAGATGTAAATTTTCTTTTTCAAAAATCCAAACATACATTCCCCAGGGAGATCTACGAAACATCCACATGAGATGGAAATTTCATACTTATATTATAAAAGAGGAAAACCTATGAAGAAATATCAGAAATAAAAAAAATTTTACTTTATTTGAGCAATCATAACGTCGTATGTAGAGCCCATTAGGCCCAAGAACTTCTGGAGTGAGATCCGATTGATTAAAATTTGTTAGACACAGAATCAGCTAGTGAAATTTTTTTCCGACCCGAACTCAATGATACGAAGATTTAGGGACAGTAGTTAGAAAGAATTTTTGTTTGGTTTTGGATGTTGGTGTGAGGTAGAGGTATTAGTTCCACTAAAATGTATAGATATTTTCATCCATATCCAGGTCGAACTCATCCCATTGGATCCGATGGGAATTCGTCGAAAGTTGTCGGAATCCTTGGTACAGGATTCCGACAGGAAGTTATTGGACGTTGGAAAGTGTCGGATTTTCAGGGTTCCGACAGGATTTGGGTCCCTTCCGACACTTTCCGACATCTTCCTGTCGGAATCCTGTACCAAGGATTCCAACAACTTCCGATGAATTCCTGTCGGATCCGATAAAATCCTATAATTTTCCTGGCAAGATCCGACGGGATCCGACTGTCGGATTGCTCGTCCTGGGTAGCTCAGACATCCACATGTGGGTTGGACAATCTTTCCAAAAATCGAGAAATTGTTCCATTTACAGTAGAAATGCTTCACTCCCTACAAAGTCAAGCAGAAACACTTTTCAAGAAACAGATTTCATTCTCTATAGAGCTATTTCAAATAGAAATGCTGGATTCATTTCCACACTTACAAGGAGAAATGGAAAAGTCATAAGAAGATATCAATCATTCTCTTTTTGGTCTTAAAGGGAAATTCTAGTAGAAATCGTATTTTTCTAGCAGAAACCGTAATACTTTAAGTAGAAATGCTTAATTCATATCTACTTTCGTCAAGAGAAGTATAAAGTTACAATATTTTGCAAAAATAATTCATCACTTTTTTTTCTCATTTTGTTTTTCTGCAACAGGATTACTTTCAATAAGGCACTCATACTTTTAGATGACAGTATATTTAGTTGTCTATTAGGAATATATAGTACAAATTTAAAAAGTCGTACCGTTGAATAGGCTTATGTTTTTAACGTTGATCATGGCAAAAACGATTACAGCAAACCTGTTAAAATACAACGAGTAGCGAAGCTGCTTAGAATTCGAAATCATTCGAGGATTGCTAAATGGCGACAACATAAGTTTTGTGATAGCGATATCAAACAAGTTTATCTTTCAGAGAAATAGAGTCGAAGTTAAATAAAAAAAGGTGAAGCAAAAAGTATACGTTAGATAAAAACAAGGAGATCAGCTAAATAATCAAGTAAAATTCATCCTGTAATAGAGAGTGTCTGGTCGTGATGTGTGAGTGTAGTGTATGGAGGTGGGCGCATGTTGATGGCATTTATGTGACTGCATGTGGGTGTGTATTGGTACGATGTGTGGATGTGGACTTGAGCATGTGTTGGTAAGAGTGTGAATTTCCTCTTCACCGATACTTACGCCGCTTTAGAACTTTCACTGCGTGGCAACAATTTCTTTTAGAGAAATGAAAACAATTCATTCTTCAATGACTCATGACAGAGAGTAAACAAAGGAAGAATAAGCACTACAAGTGTGTAATTTGGTGCCACCAAAAAATGTGTTTATATTATAGTCAATGTGGATTAATACGAAGGCATCGATGAAGTTTATAGAATAGAGACACAGAATGAGTATCATATGCTCATTTCATTGAGTATAAAAATACGTTGTAAGCTTACTTCATTTTAAATAAAAATCATTCTGATACGTAATGAATTATTAATGCAAAATATTGTATATCGAGAGATATCAATCTTTATCTTTATTTAATCGGTTAATTCTAGTAAAAATGAGTGATTCATATCTGGCTGTATACGAAGAAAGCAATATGGAAAAATCGATGGGACGACAACGAGTGGGAAATGAATAGTACATATTTTTCTACCACTGCTTATTGAATTATTTCCCTTTAAAAGACAACACTTTCTGGAGAAATCCAAATATACGTGCAAAAGTAATGAGTCATAGAGACATATATTTATGTTGTCTGTTTCATTTCTCCTTGTTATGCATGAATTTCTGTGGAGGGTGTAGGTGTGGGTGTGTGTTGCAAGAACTTAAATACTCACACCGACATCCACACCCCACACCCTTCTAGTGTGTTATCGAACGTCGGCAAAACCCAATCGAAATGATAATAAAAAAACCAACAGAATGTAATTACTAGCTACATTTGGAAATTTCCAAGCGTAGGCGGTGTAAGCGAACAAATAAGATATTCATCCACTATCACATATGACGTGGTATTTTTTCTCGTTCTGTTTTATTCTTCATGGTTTTTTCCTTTCTTCCGTCTTTCGTTATTTCTTTTCTCATTCTTTGATCTATTTCATTTGAACTGCGTTTCTTCCAAGTTTGAAACAATTGATATACTATCGTCATTTCTTCCCAACGGTATCCTATTACGGAGGTAGGAATAGATGAGGAAGTGATTATCGGTTCTCTCTCCTTCTTTTCTTCTGCCAATATAAAAGCTAACATTTGTTCTAATAAAAAAACAAAAACATAAACCTTCAGGATGTGAGTGAGATGTAGGATGTGAGTGTAGGCAGATGTAGATGTGACTGTGGCGTGTGTGCGAGTATGGGGTACGGGTATGGCGGGTGTGGGTGGGTGTGTGCATGGGTTTGTTGGCGTGGGTGTGTAGTGTAGATTGGGTGTGGGTGTGGTGGATGTGGGTGTGTAGTGTGCGATGTGAGTATGGAGGTGAGTTGTGGGCGTAGATACTCATTCCATTCACACCCACATTCCTGCTTCCACGCACATCCCTCACTTATACCCACACATCCCTCACACATCCACCCACACCCATCCCACTCCAAAAACTAAGTGAAGTTTCACTTGTGGGCGGGTGGGAGTTGTCTTTTTCTTAGCCCACACTCACGCCCGAAACACGTTAAGACGCGTTAAAATGCGTTTTTGACCGTTAATTGTCTATCTGGATAGTTACAGCGAGAGCAAAACGTCCTACTAATGCGAAACAAATAAAAAAAACAGTGATATATTTGACCCACTATTTGAACAACATCAATTGTATCAATTGCGAAGGCGAAATAAATTCTGTCTAATAGTCAGCTTATGAAGTCGATGACGGCTGACCGATGCTAGTCTTCATCAGTATCACAAATACATAATGTGGCCTTTATCAAGTAAATCTCATGGAGTCGGAGTCCAAATGCTTCGCAGATGTCTAGCGATAGAAAGTCAACGGTCTAATCTTTCTTTATTAGGCAGAATCGATAAAATGATGTTGGCCGAAGCTTTAATAAGAATAACACTAAGCAGCTACAGTCCACAAAAGGAAAGAGGAGAACTACATCGATCTTGATCTTGATATTCAATCAGAAGGAGAACGAATCAATAAGCTCAGCGATGATCTCTTATGTTAGATTTTTCTTGTCGAACAGTTTCACTTGAATGCGTGTTCGATAGCGTTCGAATTTTGTCAAAGACTTCCCAATGATAATGATTGTCCATTTCAAAGCTGCGAAAATAACAAAAGATAGTCAACAATAATGGGTCTAGTTTTGAAGAGCCGATCTTACCATCGAGTTTACCCTTTTTGAAATTGATTCGCGTTCCACCAATCCTTACTTATAATACCAAAATCTTCAGGAAGAAAGCATTATGAATAGTTGAGCTTAGCAAACCCTAACTCAACCACCTGTTGTCGATTGATTCCGATAATTTGGGAAATTATCATTCAACCTTTGTTGACATACCCGAAGGAGTGTATGGTCTTATGGACGGGTCCTACCAGCAGCTTTTATGCATTGTTCGACAGCGCAAACTTCAAGGTTCTTTTAGCGATGCAAAGCCGAAATCGAAAAATATCGATATGGGTACCTGAGTGACGGTATACCAGTGACTATGAAGATGATATCCATATCTACACCCACATCGACAAAGCTACACTCACACGCTTATCTACCCCACACTCAAAATGTGCGGCTTTTCTCCGACGGAGCTGAAAAGTAGTAATTGGTGGTAATGCACGTCTATATTCGTCTTATAATCTCTTGTAAGATGGATGCTTTGTTGCTTCCTTAGGTCTCGCTTCCCTGAAAATTGGCGTTATCAACGCTCAGAAACATGGCGCTTACTACTAATTTATTTTTACTCGTTGATGACGCTTTGATTTTGAACGCTTTCCATGAAACCTTGCTTTGTGATGCTACTGATAATATAAACAGCCACTCAATAAGCCTATTATGGCTGTGGATTTGGGTGTCCTTTTTTGATTCACACCTGCACCCAAAACTGGTTAACTAGGTAGTCAAGCTCGGTTTATAATAAAAACAATTTTGCTGTCACAAAATAGAAAGAAGTCAGAAGCATAGTGCATAAAATCGCCGTTTGAACTTCATCGTTCTGTTTCGACATATTATAATGAACCTTGAATGATTTTTTCTTCGAAGATAGCTAATAAAAACATGATCAGAATACCGAACAAAAAGCCACAGTTGACACAAATGAATCGTTTCCATTGAAAGTGGTCCCTGTCTATCAATGTTGGTAACTAGTAGAACAAATCAAAGTAGAATGATAATTATAGTTTTGTTTAACCTTTAGATGTACTGTTTTCAAGCTAGGACTCACCAGATCGACTAGCGAAATAAATAAAAACATGCCGACTGTAATAGCAAATATCCATTGATAAGAACTTTCATTTGTAGAAAGAGCTGCGCCGATGAAGAAACCGATCATTGCCGTTAGAGATGACAGAAAATTCCGAAGAAGGGCTCGAAAATGAGTAAAACCAGACTGAATCAGAATGGCATAGTCTCCTGTACAAGGAACATACATCTTCTTTTCATTGTTTAAATTTACGTGTAAGACTTACCTAACTCATGAGGTAATTCATGACAAGCAACCGCAATGGTCGTTGTAAGACCTAAAAGCAAATCTTGACTAAATGCAGCACCAATGGCCAGACCATCAGCGACATTATGAATACCATCCCCAATCAACACCATATAGGCAACGAAGTTGATAGCTAAAATAAGTAGCAACCATTCTGGAATTTAGAATCGTCATCCTCAATGTTATTTTTCTGCAGTCTTTCCTATAATTACTATGGAGCGTAAATTTCCATATTTATATGGATGCTACTCAAAATATTTAAGCGAAAGAACAAAAGTGTTTCGATTCGAATAAGCCATCGATCAGCTGAACCAGGCATCGAAATAAAGGTCAGAATGAAATTGCTATGTTTTCGAATAATCAATTCACATTTCAAGGGAATCTTAGTACTACCAATGACCATCAATATTCGTGGCTGATCAAAGAGAAGAGCTAAGTGATTTGACAACCAATTGACTCTATACATAATTTCAGCAATAAATTTCTTAGAGTATATGTATAAATGAACTCGGAGACAGAAGCTATGTTTCGCGAATATACGTGGCAAAGCTTCTAATCCTCATTCTAAAAGAGAAACGCAACTTACGTTGCTGATTCTCAGCGATTGTTTGCTCTTCATTTTTTGAACCACTCTGCGAGTTATGACCTACAATGAACCAATAAAAAATCAGAATTTCGATTATCTCCTTGGTCAAACATATAATATCGAAATGTTTCATACTGATTTCGCTAGCTGTATGCCGATATAAATTGGACTGAGTGGAATTATGATGTTGATGACTATGTTCCAGATCAACGTCGATCGTTCCATTCTCGACTGCATTCGAAGAGTCATGGTGACGAATAGAATGGCTATGGCTATTGGCTTTTACACGTGCCGAGCTCTAAATGATCGACAAAATCCTGAATTTGAAAATAGCAGTCTAAGTCTTACATGATTGTGTTTGTGACGGATGAACGAATGAAGAAATACTTCCAACAAATAGAAAGCATAAAGAACTACATAGGGAAAGAGACGGGTCAGATAATTCATTCAAAACTTCACGATTCGTATACATACTCAAGACGGCTACGAACATCTTCCATTGATAGTCATGGACTTTGACACTTGAGTGACCATCACTATGATCATGATCTCCTTTCCTAGCATGGTTATGTCCTAAACCTTTTTCATCTTCGTGACTATGAAGGCCAACTGCCTGCAAAAATGAAACATAAATCAAAGCACTAGTGCTATTCTATCAACGTTTTAGTCATATCAGATCAGCGAAATCAAAACTTATCTAAAACAAAAGAAGTTCCATTTTTCTCAGTGAAATCTGTTGTTAGATACTTTTTTGAGGCCCTGCTTTTAACTGATGACAGCATGCGTTTTCATTTCAAGAACTAGTTTGAAAATTCGGAAATTTTCCATCTCAACTTCTAGTTTCATTTTGACAAGCTTGGGTGATACAAGAAAATATTTGCTCACTAACAAACGGAATCAAATGGAAGAGAGCGTCGCCGAGAAGTGTACCAACAGCAAGTGCCGTGAACAGAGTCATTATATATGAAAAAGCTGTCTTGTTGATCAGTGGAAAAGCAAAAAAGCCGATCAAGGACAGTATTGAAACGATGAATACAGCCAGAAAACCTAGTCCATACCCTAGCGAAAGAAAAGAGACATTGATACTTTACTATCTTTCAAACATCGAACATACGTTGGGCAGCAGTGGGTACTGATTTTTTACTCGGTCGAACGATCGTAGTATGATCACAATGCTTGTTCAATACGTCTTCGACGAAATGTCCATGACATTCTTCAATGAATTCGTTCTCACTGAATTCATTCGAAACCACAGTTATGTTATTTTCGTATACTATACATAGGGTATAGGTGATATTTGTGTTTGAACACTGTAACAAAAGAATCGATTCTTTATAGAATAGAAGAAATAAGATTCAAATCTTTAACTTGCCGAGTGCTCGTGTGCAATCGTATTATTTGCAGATACAACAAGAATGAGAACAGAAATAAAGAACTTGAATAAAACGCTAAGGTGACGAAGACGTAGACATTCCATATCTGAAAACATATCGAGAATGAATATCGATCATCTGCCAACTAGGGTAAGTGTGGGTTTGGGTATAGATTGGGGTGTGGGTGTAAACAAAGATTAGAGGAACATCCATACTCACACCCACACACACACTCCATCTGACGCAAAGATTAAAGATTTTCGGTATCAAAAATCCACTATACTCAGTCAAATCTCTGTATCATTTATGATCAGCTTTACTCACTCTGCCAATTAAAAGTCCTAGGTTTCGACCAATTGTTTAAAAACGTCGAAGATTTGACAGGATTTGACTTAAAGTACAATTTTTTGACATTTTTTTGTCGAATCCTGATAAACCTTAGAACCTTTTTTTTTCAACAGATCGAAATTCATCACCGTTATTGGCTTGGGAGAGTGAAACTGGTTATAAATAATACAACGACTTGACTGATTTAACGGATTTTATATCGAAAGCCTAGAATTTTTGTATCAGAGTTTTAAAATTTGGTGCATTTCTACCTAGAAGATTATTAGACCATGATATGCTTCAAAATGACATGATATACTTTTCAATTGTAATTCGCGCATGAATATCTGTGAACTACAATTTATACATGATTTTACAACGGAATAGCACAGAAGAATAAAACTTCAGAAATATCTCGCATATTTAATAGAACATTGAAACTATGGAAAGATGGCGTAAAAAAATGTTTCAGTATAAAAATAGATATTTTAGTTGATGAAGACAAGGGAATCAGCTTTGTCACTTACATATTTTGATATTGCCAGACAATACTTGATGAAATGAGGAAGTGACTATGAATCATTCAACTTTTATACTACTGTTATTTTGAAGATGGCTTATTGCTGATTTCTTTCTAAAGAGTACAAATCCGAAAGAAGACATATGTAATCTTTACATTGGCTCAGACAGAAAAAAAATTTAACCGTTTTCATTAATAACACTTGAAAAACTAAAGAGTGGCCCAAAAGAGCTTGTCTCAGTAAATGGATGATATTTACCAGAAGCTTATATGAAGCTGTTAATCAAATTATGTCATTTTGTAGAGGAAGATTAGAGCTATCATCTAAAAAAAGCATAGTTCGAAATACATAAATCTATTACAGTATTATAGTCGTTTTACTAACCTTGAGTGAAAATTTTTACATCACATTCTTTTGAGAATAATAAAAAAACAAAACTTTTTTTAAATAATAATATGCTTTTGCTCGTAGAGATTTTTCTAAACAGTTCTTATTTTAAGAGAACAATATTCTATATATTTATTTATTATGAATACAGCTTGTAACACTATTCATAGTGATAAAGACTTCCATATACAAAGTCTTATTTTATGAAATTTATTGTTTCGAAGTTTTCCTCGAATATACTAATTACCTGAATTTATCTTTCTGACAGTCTTCAGAGTTTTATCAAAAAATTCTAGTATTTATTTTAAAGCTAAATAGAGTATTGAGGATCAAGTTATGAGGATATAATCATATATGGCCTATTGAAAACTTATGGAGTATCATTCGACAAGATTTAAGTCAATATGAATTTAATTCGTTACAAGATGTCAAACAAAAAATATGAATATATGGAAGTTTTCGTCAAGAAAACTGTGGCAAAATGACCAGTAGTATTCCAAAAAAGATTAAAAGCAATCCTCCAAAACCAACATTACCCACCATCAAATTTGATTATTAATGTTTATATAACATGCCAGTCTG